TCCCATTGCCTTTTTTTTCACACAAGGGATGTAGGAGGGAACCTTAGATATATAAGAATTGAATTAATCATATTCCCCAGTTCATAGTACTCCATCAGTTCACACAAGATTTCTCTTTTGGTTTTATTTATTTTTGATTTTTCCTCCCTCTTTCCCCCTTTAATAGATTCCCCTCTAATGTATTTTGTGTCCTTACAATCCATCTTTTACCTATTCGATTTGATATAAAAGGATCTTCAAACACATTATGTTGGTAGTATGAGTGGGTAGTGTGTTTCGTTTTCATGAATGACATTGGAAGGTCGCCCTATTTATTAGATGATTCTTCCTTGCATCTCAGAGAAGCTCTGCCTCTCTGGAACTTCCTTCCATTTGGTCCTAGTTTTGCCCCCATGGATCTAAACAGAAAAATTGCCCACCCTCTTCCAGCACTCAAGACAGGCATCTTGGCCCCCTCTTCTGCAGCCTTCATCCACCCTCTCACAGGATGTGGGATTCTCCTACTTTCTCCCAGGATGCTCCGTAGTTAGATGATGGTCCCCTTGAAGGGCTTTGATCACTCCCCCGCCCCCCTACCGCAGATGGTGTACTTCTCTACCCCTAGTGATAATCTCTTGTGTTACTGGAAGGGCCAGGAGAGGAACCTGGTATCATGTGACTGGGCCATACAGCATAATAGAGTAAGAACTGAGATTTGATTAGAAGTGTGAATATAATTGCTCTGCGTGAGAAACCCCTTTTCCCCTGGTTATCAGGATGGTTATCAGGCTTGGTGATGGAGGGGCACCTGCAGGCAGGGCATCTCTCCGCTCTCTGTGTTGGATTGTTGTGCACAGACTAGAACTCTCAGGCTCAGACAACTGTTGACTGTCCTCTTCCTTTGCTTGGATGGAAATTTCCTCAACATTTACAGGAAGGATAGCGAGCCCTGTGCAAGGCAGGCTGAGTGGACCTGGCTTGGGGAGCCGAGGGTGCCTGCATGCCCATGTGGAATAACCCACCCTCCTCGTCCTCTGCTCTTTATCTTTATGAGCACATTTTAGAGACCAATGTTACATATTTCTGTTATTGAGGTAAAATTCACATATCATAAAATTAACCACTTTAAAGTGAACAATTCAGCATTTAGTAGGTTCACAATGTGTACAGCTATCACCTCTATCTAATTCCAAACATTATCACCTCAGAAGGAAACCATATACCATTAAGCAGCTGCTCCCCCTTCCCCCTACCCACCCTCCCCACCCCCCCCTCTGGTAACCATCGGTCTGTGTTCTGTCTCTATGGATCTACCTTTTAGGATATTTCACATAAATGGGATCATTCATCTCATTTTGTGTCTGACTTCTCTGAACCCTTTTCCCATTTAGAAAAAAATAGTGCAGCTCACTGCCAGTGTTAATTTAACATCACACGTAGGAAGGCTACGTTTTTTAGGATTTGACATTTTCAGCGATTAAAAATCACGATATTTTGTAAGTGGAATACCACTACTAAAAACAGAACGCTATAAATAGAATGATGTCATTTGTTTTCAAAGACTATCGATACACTAGAGTGATGTGAAAATAATAATAAAAGCAAGATATTTCATGGCAGACTTTGGGGGTAAGGTTAGGACTGAATTCTGCAAGGTATATCGGGGTAAACACTGCAGCCATAAGTGCCACCGGCGAGTATTCTCGGGGCAAACAGGAAATGGGTGAATGAGGATAATGTTCTCAGGTTTCATCCACATTGTAGCATGTATCAGTACTTCATTATTTTCTATGGCTGAGTAATATTTTATGGTACATTTATACTGCAGTTTCTTGATTCATTTTTTTTCTTTGATGGATTTTTGGGCTGTTTTCACCTTTGTCTAGTGTGAATGATGCTGCTATGAACATATGTGTATATGTACTTGTTTGAGAACTTGTGTTTAATTCTTTGGGACATATACCTAGGAGTAAGAAATACAGGGTCATGTGGTAATTCCTATGTTTAATTTTTTGAAGAACTGCCAACATGTGCATTTTTTTAAAATAGCAACTTTACTCTGTAACTTTTCTACATATTGAGAGGCAGAGAAATTGTGTGGGAAAACCCTGGGCTGGAAGTCAGGAGACCTGGGTTCTTTTCCTAGCTTTTCCGCTAACTGCTGTGTGACCTGGAGCAAATCACTTACCTTTACTGGGCTCTTGTTTCCTCCTCTTAAAAGTAAGGGATTGCATAGAGCTAAATAATCCTAAGTAATCCTTAAATTCTCTTCCTCTGTTAAGATTTTACTAGAGGAGAAAATGAGTTCCAGAGAGAATTGTCGAACAACTAAATGTGATTATCTCTAGTTCTTTTTCTACTCTGCTGTTAAATTGTGAGTTAAAAACACCCCCAAATAATTGGGCTTTTTTTTTCTTGCCAGTGTGTTTCTAGTTAATACCCAGAATAGCTTCTGGCTCCCTTTCCCATCAGGATTCCCAGAATAAAATTGTCCTTCTCTTTCCCATCACTCCAGCTACTTGGCAGCTCCTTAACAAACCAAGGCGGTCATGGAGCCAAGACTGGAGCCGTCCCCACTGTCCCTGAAGGACTGCGGAGCCTCCACTCGTGCAGGTTCTCGCAGCACTAAGGTTTCGGCCGGGTAACCTGAGGCTGGCCTTTGGAGACACGGGAGGCAGCAGACCCGAGACAGTGAAAGGACTGTCTCAGAGCATTAGGAGGGAGACTCAGAGACCTCCTGTGATGGCTTCTAGTCACAGTCTCTCTTTGGGAAGTTTTCTACTTTCTTAACCCTCTTCCATCTGGATGATTTCCTGGCCAGAGTGCAGTACCTATGTAGGAAGGGAGTTGTCACAGTGTGCTGCCACGTCCAGATCATGTGCTCTCCTGTACCACCTGGCGGTTTTCTGGGGGAACATGAGGTTTAAAAAAAAGACACGATCCAGGTGGTTTATTTCATCAGTCGGCTGGTCATTTGTTCATTTTTCATCAATCTGTCATATTTTCGAGTGCCTGCTATGTTTTAGGCACTATGTTAGAGTCTAGGAATGACCAAGACGAGGCACCTCCCTTTATAGAGCCTCTCTTTTTATAGGGGATAGAGAGTGGCTTTGGAATGAATACAAAGTGACAAGCGCTGTAATAGGTGGGCATAGATGGTGTTCAGGAGTGCAGACAAGGGGCACCTAAGTCATACTTGGCAAATTCTAATGAGAGAGGGCAGATTCAAAGAGTGTTCTAGACAGATGTTAATCTGTGCAGAAGCCAGTCGGCCTGACAGAGCACGATGCACGGAGAGAGCCTGTAGAAGCCCCATATGGACTGAACACAATGCAAGGGAGGGTGATGAGAAACGCGGTTGCAGAGGGGGCTGTGTCACGCAGGGCCTCTGAGTCATGTCAAGGACTTCGGCTTTAACTTTTGGGCTGTAGTGAGCTAGTGAGTTTGACTAGGGGAGTAGCACAGTATTTACATTTGCACTTCAGAGATAACCACTCTGGTTATGGGTGGAGAATGAGTCAGAGGGGCTAGAGCAGAAGTGGAGAGACCACTTAGGAAAGCCGCTGTGGTAACTGACATGAAACGCTGGTGACCAAAACCAAGGTAGAAGCAATGAGAAGGGAGGCAAGTGGATGAAGTCCATAAATACACCCGAGGTTGGGGGCTGGCATCGGGCCCGGCTTCCAGGAAAGAAACTGCTGAAATCTGAGTCAGAATCCTTTAGCTTGCCCCACATCCTGGCACAGGGGAGGTGCCTCATCCGCCAAGTCTTCAGAAGCATGACCTTGTCTCCCAGGAGAAGCCCTGGGGCCCTTCTCTTCTCCCTATGCCCTCACTCAGGCTAGGTGGGAGGTGGGGGTATACAGGTGAGACCAGGCTTCAAGATGCTGCCAAATAAAACAGGAGTAGGAGAACAGTGTGTCCAGTTTGAGAGGTGACTCTCAGTCTAAGAAAGCTGGGAGCATTCTGGGGAAACCTTCTCCTGCGTCGTCTTGGACTTGACCGCATGGTGGAACAGCAAACTGGACCAATTTTTAAGACTTCATGTTCAGAACCTTGGTCATCTTAAAGCTCTTTGTTAGCTGTAGGCCATTCTTGTTCTCTCTCAGGAAGAGAAAAGGGTTTGTCTCTTAAGGACTCATTCCAGGTTCCTTGGACCGCCATTTTTAACGCCTCCCTCTAGAGGCCCTGGAATGATTTCTCGTGAGTATGTGAACACTGGGCTGTCATAATGTTGCTCATTCTACCAACCTCCTAGAATCTTCTTCTCCTGGGCCATCATCTCAGCACTGCCATAACCTCTAAAGGGACAACATCAGGGACTGCCATACTTTAGCTGCACAAAATATCTGCAGAAATCATTCTTTTTTTAAAAAAAAAAGGTCCTTTGGGCAGCCAAGTTCCACCTGTCTAACCCTGATCCCCAGTGCTGCCACTTTCACCCTGTCCCTCTCTCGCTGGACCAAAGGACATCAGTGTGATCTTCCCTCTCTGCCCCTACCCCAAACACACTCGAACCCAGACCCATTCAGCAAGTGTGGTTCAGAGAAGCTGCGAGATCAGTGTGTTTATTCCTGGCCCGGCGCATGGCATCTTCTAAGTGCTGGGCCTGTGGGCCTGTTTGTTTTCATGACTGTTCTATGTAGAGTTGCCCTTCCTTCTCGAATAGCAGTTCTCAACTAAGGATGGTTTCATTCTCCAGGGGAGAGTTGGCAATGTCTGTAGACATTTTTGATTGGGGGCAGAAGTGGGCTCTGGTGGCATTGAGCTGGGTAGAGGCCAGGGATGCTGCTACATCTCCCACAATACCCAAGACTGTTTCCCACACAAAGAATTGATGGGCCCCAAATGTCAATAGTGCAAGGTGAAGAACCTGTTTTAGAACAGCAGTCTGGGACCAAGGGGACCCTTGCATCCTTCCAGCCGTGTAGGATTGCTAGAACAAGCCACGAGTTCAAGAATAGCTCACTTGTTGTATTTCTTTCCACAGCTGAGCTCTGTCTGGGAGGCCGAGTTAGAGCGGCTGGAGGCAGCGAGACCCCGCAGGCCGGGGAGCGGGGAGCTGGGCCCACCGCTGAGGATGGCCAGGCCACAGGCGGCACCCTGGGTCCACGCAGGCTTCCTCCTCTGCCTCCTCGGCCTCGGTGGGGCCATCGAGATTCCTATGGATCGTGAGTTCTTTTATTCTCCTGATTTGGGGCAGAAGGGTTGGAGGGCAGAAGATGGCAGGGGAGAGTTAAGACCAACTTTTCAAGAAGGCGAGAGGAGGGGAAACAGCGAATTCTGGATGCAGAGCTGGGTTTCGCAGAGAATGGAAGCCGGCAGGCTCGTGTTCGGGAATGTGAGACTGTGAGTCTGCAGCACGGTCCCTCCGCTGGGGCTGACTGACACTTGGGCTGCCTGAAACCTGCTGAGCAGGACCAGCGGTGGCAGAGTTTGGAAGTCTGAGTGTCCTCTCTGGTCTTGATTTGTCTCATTGAAGCGGAATTTCCAGGGACCAAGTGAGTGGACAGTTCTTATTTTTCTTTCTAATACCTGAGCTGGACCATTCAGACCCTCTTGGCTGGACTGGTCAGGACAGATGTCCCGGGGAGGGTTAAGGAGGGGATTATTTTTGCAAGACTGTGGCTACATGAGACATTAAAATAGAGGCCCATTAAAATGCCACTGGGAGAACCAG